ATAAAAAGTGTTTACTTGCGCTTAGATTTTAACATGTCGCAACTCGCAACGTAGACAGTGGTCATTCACAATGCTGTCCTCTGATGTGATGATTTTTGCCTTATTGGTCTGGGCAGCACAGCGGATTGTTGCCTTCGATGTTTGTAAAAAGGCCGATGAAACCTGTAGTGCAAACCACAATGATTACACTGAATTTGTTGGACGTTACACATTTCCAACAACTCCGATTAGGGCCGTCGAATGTAGAAGCTAAGAAGCCATAGCAAAAATGAAAAAGGGGATGAGTAATGATATAAAAACTGCATGTACATGCAGCAATGTTTCCTAAGAGTTTGGGAGGGGGATGAGTATCTATAAGTAGAAATATGTCAATGTTCGTTGCTGAGGCCATTTTGTATAAAACATTTAACAACGTTAAGTCCTTTGGCTGCACTTCAACAAAACCATCCTTTGAGTGTTTACGCACCTCCAAAAGCTGATTAATATAGTTATTGTTTTATAAATCCAGGCTCCAATTGTTTTGAAGAACTGTCATTTTGGTGAGATCACACAGGGGTGGACATTTGAATATTTGAAAGATAATTTACTGTCACCTAATTTCACAGTTTACAAGTCCCCAACAAGAAGATTTTATTCTACAATCGTGAGAGCTCCAAGGAAATCATAGAAAATATAACATGGAGTCCGCCACATAATGTGACTGAGATGAGTTTTATACAGTTCCTCAATCAGATTGACGAGCTTGAAAAAGCTGGAAATGGCACAAAAGCATATTTGCAGGTACGAATCAGGTCAAATTGTATTTACAAAATGACGCCTAATTGACTAACAATTTTATGGTACAGTCTGTAGAAGTTAAATGTGAAGACTATATTTTCGTGATATGTATCCGTAAGTTCTGATCACAAAACTCTACGGTCGCGGCATCAGTAGATATACATTATAGTTCTCGGCTAATGTCTTATTTTATAGAGCAGTCTTGAAAAGGAATCTCTAAATTCAGACATGCAGGATGATGTGTTGATGTTTAATACGAAGTGGTTGAAAGATATGAAAGAGAAACTGTCATGGGGTAGACTCGATGTTAATCTTTTCCTTGTTGGCATGAGCGAAGTCGTAACACCCGCCTATTACGATATTATGGAGAACCTATTTCTGCAGGTTTGTCCTAATTAATACACCAGCGCCTAATTCGGATTAAACCACTAACCAGTACTGTTGAATCAATAAAACAAATTCAGATAATCTTACAAACTGGAATAAAACTACTCGTGTCGTTACTAAGTGTAATCATAGAGAACAATGACGCAATATAGTAAACATAAACTAAAGTACAATTTATACAGCATTTCATAAATCGTATAATTTGAAATTATCTTGTAGATTCATGGAAAAAAGTAAGTTCCGATGTAAGTTCCTCTATCCTTATCCTGTTTATCATCCTCATGATCGTCAGACATAGGTATACCATGCATCATGGTTCAAGGTTATAGTAAATCAAAAACTAGTTTTTTTTTCAACTCTACGAGATGAAGAAATTTAATAACATGGTTATGAAAATGGTCGTAGCTATAAATAGTTCATGTGCTGAAATTTGTGAGCACTTACGGCCGAAAATCTAATATTATGATTAAATTTACACCGTGAAAATGTTGCCATCACTTTTGTTCATTAATAATCTCGGCTTACATGTAAATTGAATATTGGGACCTATATATATTGGGATATATATATATATATATATATATATATATATATATATATATATATATATATATATAATATATATATTTATTATGCATTACTAATGCAATCTCGATTGTGATGGGCTAAAAACTTGCCACCTACGCGACATTGAAAATTATCGTAATTTTTTGCCGCTAGTTTGTAGTCAATAATGGCGCAGGCTTCTTCTCTGAAAAAGGAAATACATAATAAAACAATTTTTGAATTCGGTTTTCGCATGATATCGAGAATTATCAAGCCTCAGTTTGCGTTATCCGCCTCATGCAGCTTCGCTCCGCTATCACACTCAACCTATATATATATATATATATATATATATATATAATAACGTAAAGAATTCAAGCAATTTCATTGGTCGAGAGCCATGATCTATAAGAGGACAGACGCACGGAATGACGTCACAGCAATTTTCTTTTTACCGGTTTAATTTTGGATTTTTTTCAGTTTTATTATATAATTATATTTTCAATTTTATTATACTCGCCCCGGCGGCTCGTGGCCACTTTTTTTGTTCTTATCACATATGACGTCATACCGTGTATCTATAACTGAACAGACAACGGTTCATTGTAATCTATTTGTTAAATATATATATATATATATATATATATATATATATATATATATATATATATATATATATATACATATATATATATATATTTATTTATATTTATGCAACGCTCACTTGTATAAGTTTGAGCACTCTGGTGACTTCACAATACAATTCCAACAATGTGTAACCGTACGTCCTCTGTCCCTAGTGCAGGAGTCACCATATATATATTTGGCTTATATACAAGCTTATTTTTGCTTATTCAGTCCACTTATCTTTTTTAATAAATCTTTTCTTCTTAATTAGAAGATTCTATAAATTGGGAAAAAGATATTGTCATGCATACGAATTACGACATGAATTTGAAAAGTACAACATTATAAAATACATATTTAGATTACGCCCATTTGTCTGCATGTCAATGCAACATGAAAGACGCCTATGTCCATGGTATCGGCAGCTTTATCAATGCGAGGCCGAGGGTTAATAATTGGGGGTATTCAACGTTGAATGTGTCAATCTTTTTTTAAATCGATTGATAGACGATCCCCCGCTCAATTATCGACGCTAGTTACGCCCGAGAGTTCACTGAAGGGGGAAAGGTGCAGCTATACGAGCTATACGGCTGATACGTCGGATCATTTTACCTAAAATTCGGACGTTCTTCTTAATTTTGGAACGTTTTTACTGCTTATTCTACCCTTTTCCCGCTTGCACTCTTAATGAATACTGTATATATGGTATACTTGGATTCGTCTCGCCAAAACATCGTTCCAAAAGTTAATTTTTTTTTGGAAAATTCGCGTCGCGTTGCAGAATCACGTTAGATGTGCGTGTCGTGCGGGAAGTTTAAACGTGTGAATCACGTCCGATGTGTGTTGTTCGGCCGTGTGGGAAGTTTATACACGAAAGGTGGAAAGCAGTTGCTTAGTTAACTACATAATTCGGTTCACATTTGATAGGTTTTACCACGAAGGAAGCCGCCGCCTAACTTACCGCTTGTTTCATGATTCATCATACTTGATATACTATTGTGGTTACTGTTGTTGTTGTTGCTGTTGTTACTGTGGTTATCGTTCTTTTTCTCTTTGTTTTCTTTCTTTTGTTTTTTTCATATTTCGTTATTGTTGTTGTTTTTCTTGTCGTCGTTGTTACCGTTGTCTTTGTCGTTTTTACTGTTTTTGTTGCTGCCATTGGTTCAAATTCCGAACTTGGTAAGTGGCTTTTCGTTGTTGCAGCTGTTGGATTAGCTGTTAAGCTTTTAATCCCAGGGTCCTTTTTAGTAGTTGTGAACTGTTCCTGCCATCTTGTTGGAACCTATAGGAGATGATAAAATGAAGACTGTACGGCTCCCAATTTTCCCGGCTGAGAGAAAGCGGAGAGATATTCTGAGCAAACGTGTGATAGGTATGATTTTTAACATTGATAATCAGAGTTATACAGCTCTAGACCTCTTGAACTTTATTACATGGCAAATTTCTAAAAATACTGGTATATATACGCCAGTAATATAAAGTATTGCATTGCCGTTATTAGATTTTAACGAGCTTCATGCAAGAATAACACAATCGCCCAACAACAGAAAGCATGCGTCAATTATTGAGGTGCCCTTTCACGAAAACCTACCCCGGCCTTTGTCTTCGCATTGTTTCAAGGTTTCTAAGTTCTAACCTTTTTAGTAGTATGTTGCACAGGCGCCATCGTTTTCATCTCAGGTGTAGTCTGTGGTGCTGGCTTACATATGCCACTAGCATACGATGAAAGTGCACAGACGAGACCTTCGTCGCATAAACGGGTGCTCGGGGACCATTCACCGCCACATTCTTCGCCCTCTATTTTGGCACATATTTTGCAACAACCACAATGGGGCTCGTACACAAGACCTCCTTTGCATTTTTGTTTCAAGGACTCATCATCCTGGCAATATTCGTAATCGCATTCACAACCGTGTCCACGAACTTCATTAACCGACAAAACAAGCAGCAAACTGAACAAAGCAGGTATCATGGTGGAATTCGTGCTTTCAAAATCCGTTCAAACTGCTTCTATAGCTGCAGCAGGTTTTTTTTGAGGGAGGAATTTAGACGTCTCTAATACACGATGATTCAATGGATGCCGACTTTCTGATTATTGCAACGACTCGATCGATTTTCAGCGAACATAATATTAGACCGTCACTTGGTATCCTATTCACGGATTGAAAATATTTACTATTGCCTTTTGTGTCTCCTATTCTATTCTTTCAAAACCGTTGACAGGACTTATCATCACTTTCTTTCGTTCGTCATTCAACAACTCCAGATTGTATTTAGTCACGGGGAGAACACTGCTGATTGTTACAAGTATTGGGGTTGGATTAGTAAATATTTATTCACCCAACTTGAATAATATCAGGTTCCATATTTTTGAAAGGCAATTCATGTACATTTGATCAAATATGCTTTTTATTAAGCATTATCAAATCCAGGTGGGCAGTCTAATCCACTGAATTGTCAACCTTGCAAGCCAGGCTCTTTTACCTACGCTCCCGCAGCGTGGGCCGCGAGGAGCGTACGTAAAAGAGCCTGGCTTGCGAGGTTGCTGAATTGTATGGGTTTCAAGGTGCTAACGATTATTTCTTAAAACCTCAAAAATGTAATTTTCACATTCTTGTACGGTCTCTGGAAGACACTAAGCCCTTAAAGACACAATAATATGCACACCATAGTACGAAAATCACTCAGTGAGGAAAATTAACTACATTCAATTATAGATCATTTAAAACATACCCTGAATACTAATTACTTCCGTTTTGGAATGTAGTGATGTTAAAGCTATATAGTATGAGTATGTCTACTGCTTTAATAATAATTCAAGCTAAATAAACATAATGGTATATAATATTAATAATCACCAATTCCTGAACTATACAGCCTGAAATACTGTACATACATGCAAACAGAAATTACACATAACAAAGCAGTTTCTTTCAATAGTATATAAATTGTGATAGTTATAATTTCCACAACATTGCAACAGCTTTGCAAACACCAACATCGTAAATGTTCAAATATGCTAAACCAAGAAATGTTAATGCTGATACGCCTGCCCAAATGTACACAGCTGTTGTTGTCACAGCCTTGGTTGAAAAGATTTCAGGAAGGTAATCTGACAATATTTCTTTGGTGCCCCTAAAGAAAGAAGAATAACAGAACACAATCAAACAGCATGAGAGTGGATTTTTTTGCAGCAGTAAATATCATTGAATCACAAGTTTTGCCATGCTGATTTAAATTTGTACGGACCTTTACTGTTTATTAAAAAACAAACAAACAAATTGACATTGACAATATGCAATTACTAACCAGTATGAATGTAGAGGGAAGAATATTGTTATTGCCCAATCCATAACTGGTGTTGGAGCAAGAATGGCTGCAGGATATATGCCAATCATAAGCACAGAAATATACCGAAACATTTTCCAGTGAGGTGACCCAATTTCTTCTGTTTTTTCAACTAAGAATTAGTATGAAAAAATGAAAGGGTTAGATGGGTTCAAGAATCAAGGATAAATTTATATCGGTGATTTTCATTTCTTGCATAGGAAAACTTAAACATGCAACTTAATTAGACAGATCATTTTTCAGCTTACGGAGAAAAGTTCTAAGGAAATGCAAGATGCAACTGGGGAACATTTGTTATAAGTTATTAAAAACACACCTGTTTGATTCTGAAGTAAACAACTTGAATGAAAATAGTTTTTTTGCGTCAGTGGGAATACTAAATGGTAAGGAAATAACATCACATGCATCATTATTTTTTAGTCACTATTCTACTACACTACTCGGTCTATATACATACAACCCACTTAAATTTAAACTTGTACCTGACTTCTGGAAGCACTGCGAACGTACAAAAGCCGAACCATTTTGTAGCTTGTGCAAATTTACAAACAACCTCTGCCCTGATGCAACTACACCTATAAATGTTATGATGATAATATGATGATGGTAAAATTAAAATTTCATTTTTTTCTTGGAATAAAACTTTATATACATACCAACACGATATAATGATTGCCTCAATAAAGCCGCCATCTTGAATCGTGCCTGATCACACGATCGTCGGGCGTCTTCGTACCACTTTTCAAGAAACAATGATTGGTCGGTGATCATTCGTATTTTCCCGGTAAAACTCGCCTGAATTCGAATGCAAACATTGAACATGAACAAAATTTGTTACAATTTGCAACATATGTATACATTTTCAAAATGATAAGTTGAAGTTCATCCTGAACAATGGCTTTAGTTTTAGGAATTGGCTCTGGTCTCTTTGCATTAATAATAATTTGGATTGTTGGTCTTATTCTTTGCGTCGTTTTCTCAAGGGTATCTGCTTTGAGGTAAGCATATTCTTATAGCATTAATGTACATATGTAACAGTGCAATCGGTACAATCAGAGCATTCGTACCATAACATTTTCTCTTCATAAATAGGAATGGTGTAGTTGGAATAGGCATCCTAATTATTGCTTTGACAGTCATCTTAATTTTGTATCCACGAGAATCAGATGAAAGTCCTAAAGAAACATCTAAACAGGTATAAAACTGGAATTTGATATCTATATGCAGTTTATAAGAATAGGTAATTGAATATATCCTTCCCTTATAAGTAATACCCTTAATGTCAGAGAAAATCATTATGAATAAACAAAGCATTAGTCACTCCATAGGTAGCCCAGAAATCTGTTTGTACTCAGCCTTCAACTACATTGTTTACGTGCACGGTCAGCTTCTACTGTCTGTACTAATTACAGCAATTAGTTACTGTATTATATATTAATAGCATCTATGTATAATACAGTAGTTAGTACAGACAGTAGAAGCTGACTTCGTGTGTTACCAATGTAGTCAAAGGCTGAGTACAAACAGATTTCTGGGTACCTATGGTCACTCCATTTGGATCATTCACATGCAATTGCCTGAGGTTACAGTGAGAATGCATTGTCTGGATTTTTTTAGCCAGTGGACAACCTTTCTGTGTTACGTACAACAATATTTGCTGGGGCTTGCCTGCTTGCTGTAATATCATTGGTGCTTATGCTGGTGTTTCACTGGATGGAACCACAGTATGCACCAGCATTGCTGGCAAGAAAAAAATACACATTCTAACTGGGTTGTATAAATACACAATCTAGCTGGGTTGTTTCCATAAGGCTCTCCATTTGCATCCAGTCAGTTCATGTATAGATCAATTAATGGAGATGCATGAAAATGTTGGAAATTTATACTCCCCCCTGAATGAATCAAATGCGAGGAAGGAGGCAGTTCATCAGAGAAGGTGATGTAGTTTGACGGATATGTGATGGGAATTCGTACCATACTTGACTGAGACAGAGTCGTATGTTAGAAATAAACCATAGATAAAGACAATTACTTTACGCCGATTGCTACACCCATTGTCCTTGCCTAAAATGTAGAAGAAACAAAAAAGAACTATGTGGCAATGTGTAGATTATAGGCATAATCCACAAATTATTGGCTGATAATGATCAACGAATTTTGATTTCAAACTCGTCTTGTTTAGGAAAGTCTGAAATCATTAGTCTTCGGTAGTCACTTCATTGCTTGGTAATAGGCACATGAACCTATTTTTCATCCAATACAGTGTAATTGAAGCAAGCCCAAGCCGATGTTTCGCTAGCAATGCGTAATTGAAGCAAGGTCAAGCCGATGTTTCGCTAGCAATGCGACCATCATATACTAGTGATGCATTAATGGCAACTGATGATTGCATGGAATATATTATAATTAAATTCTAGATCTATCTTAATAAAGTACATTAAAAGAAGATTATCTCAGATTTCCCTTATCATTTTTAAGGATACAGTGTCTTTGTATCTGCTTGATGAGATGATTTCCAAAACGTCCAGATACGGACCATACCATGATCAATTATGATCAATAAGATTAGGGATTTGGGAACGTAGAAAACGCCCTACACGGGGGAAGGGCGGGAAGGGCCAGGATATTTTAGAAGTGTTTCAAAGCATCAGTGATTTTCCAGCAATCAGAACAATTAGTTATAACATTTCTCCTAAATTCAAGAAATTCCTGACCTAAATGCATATAGGACATGGCACCATTAGTGATTAGTGTGAATTCATATTTAGTTTCCCGTGCATTCCTACAACTATTCCTATAACTATTCCTATAATTTGCGATCTTCATTAAAGTCATGCAAAGAAATTATATTGTACATTTCTGTATTGTTATAAAAGAAAATACTATCGAGTATGTTAAAACAAGTTCACATGTTCTTTTGATTTCTAACTGATACGTATTCTGCAATATAAAAGCTTATCATACACATCTGCCAGACTGCCAACTGTAAAATGACCATTTTAACTGATTTGTGACACAATGTTATGAATGCAGACGATTCGCTCACAATCTTTAAATCTTCAATATAAGAGAAGGTATTTTGGGTATTTCAGCTGTCTTATCAAAATTTTGTCGGTCTCCACATCACATGGTGCTTCCCCCCAAAACGCGCATAAATAAGCGGGACTCAAATTTGATGTTTTGGCAAGTATAGACTGTTCCAATGAGCTTGACTGAATACTGATACAGCGGCGGTGTCGCTAAAGACGACGCGGAACGTTTCGTTTTTCGAGTGTTAGATTAATTAATAAGCTAAATGTTTCATATCTCCAACTCTGAGGATGATTCTAAAAAAGTATAGATAGACTCAGACTTTTGGCGCCTATTTGACTGTGTAATTGTAACTGTACCCGGTTCTAGCGCTGTATAGGCCGAATATTACGGTGGCTCACAGGGGCCACCCATATAAATACGTAAATACCAATCCTCAAAAATTCCAAACACAATTTAAATATTTCGAAAGGCACTTTACATGTTTTCAAACGCACTTTAAATATGTGCAACACACTTTGAAAATCTTTAAACACACTTTAAGTTTTCCAACACACTTTAAATTTTCTAACACACTTTAAGTTTTCAAACACACTTTAAGTTTTCTAACACACTTTAGATCTGGGCTCATCGCGGGCTCATCGCATAAGTACCCGCATGCGCAAGTCAAGGTTACTTTATTTTCTTTTTTATCCTGTCGTTGCGTGGTGCGTTTTTTCACTCGATTTTTTTAAACTTAAAAGCTCGCAGGAAAGCAAGGAGTCGAAGATATAAGCAGTACATGATTGATAAATATGAGTTGTGCAGGGTGCGGCAATGCTGCGGCTGATGCAGAAACGTACTGTGAGAATTGTGTATCGGAGAAAGAGACTACGGATCTTATTGTTAATTATTTTAACCGTGGATACCCATACGGAGCAATTGTTGGTCTTCTAAATAGTGCTGGTGTATCGACGTCTTTAAGAACACTAAAACGCCGTTTAAAGTCGTTAGGTTTAAAGCGAAAGGGGCAGATCATTGATGAGCAACATTTACGGACAGTAATTCAAGAAGAAGTTGAAGGAGCAGGAAGGCTGTCTGGATATAGAAGTATTTGGCATGCTTTGAGGCTTCGTCACCATATTAACGTTAGTCGTCACGTGGTAGCGAAAATAATGAAAGAGATTGATCCAGAGGGTGTCCAAATGCGAAAGGCGAGACGATTACATCGTCGATTATACAGGAACGAAGGGGCTAATGCTTGCTGGCATGCCGATGGTATGAGTATTGGCGTTGCAATAAGTGGAGTAGCTCAACAATTTGGTCATGCTATGCAAATATTTCTGCGTTTTTTGAAAACAATCCATTTCTAAAGAACTTTACATTATAAAATACAAATAATAATTTAAAATTGGAATAGCATCACCAAATTGTCGCTCGCTACCACAGGTTGCAATAGAAGTGCACTGCAATAAAATATTGCATTGATCCCATAACCCCATGGATAGATCTGACCTGAGGATGTAACCATTGATGAAGCACTGTTGTGGAGGGGAAATTTTTGAAAAATGTAATTGTGTAATAAGACCCCAAATGGACCAATATAGTGTTTTTGTTTGATACCATAATATTTGCATTTGATATGGGGAGTGTGGTGCCATTGATTGGCACGTTCACCCATGCCTTCATCACTATTATCTCATATCTCTTTCATATCCCTTTCAGGGTATGACAAATTAAAACCATATGGGTTCTCTATTCATGGAGCGATTTGTGGCTATAGTCGAAGAGTTCTTTGGCTTGAGGTAGTCAGGTCCAACAAAGATCCCAATATTATTGCCAATATATTTCTAAATGCTGTTAAAGAGGTTGGGGGTTGTCCTATGCGCATCCGTACAGACTGTGGAACTGAGAACGTTCTTATGTGTGCTATGCAGTGCTATCTAAGGTCAGATGGTAATAATGAATGGGCTGGGGAAAAAGCTCATGCATATGGTTCATCTCCAGCAAACCAGAGATGCAATGTAAACATCTCTTCGCTCCCAGGAAGTGTGATTACTCGCCTTCTGTCGGCGTACAGAAGGTAATACTCCTCAGGGCGATCGGAAAAATTTCTGTTAAAGCGACTATGTTTTTTGACAGATAAATCAATAAGCTCGTCGACGCCAACAGTAGAACAAACTGACAATGTATGGTGCGTTGAAGAACCCCGGTTGATTTTCAATTCACCATAATCCTGGCGGTAGGTCATAACTCCAATCTTGATCGTAACCACGTGGTCTTTCTTCTTTTTTGCTGATTTCGGTTTGAAATGGCTTTGTCTGCTTGATTCTTTTCTGTTTTGAAAAGAGCTGAAAGTCATCAGCGGTGGTCCCGTGCCAGCAGCCAGTGCCTTCGGGGTACTTACGCGGTCGTTTGATGATGTTCTCTGTGTCGTCGTGTTGTTTTATGTGCCTGACAAAACCGAAGAAGGCGCACTGCTTTGTGATGTAGTAGGCGTAGGATCAACACTATGCAGTCGCGTCCCACATTTGTGACAAAACGATGCTTCAGCCACACATTTTCCACCACAGGATGAACAAAACATAACGACATAAAATTATCATAAAATACCGCTCATTTGAATGAAATACGTGTAATTGTTATAGCCAGTATAGTAGAAGAAATAATGAACAGCCGGCGCATGGCTCGTAATATGAGATGACCCGATGACCCCAGTGTTTCCACATCCAAATTTAAGAAATCCTTCTTTTGAAAATTTCAAAAATTTAATGTGTGTTTGAAAACTTAAAGTTTGTTTGAAAACTTAAAGTGTGTTTGAAAACTTAAAGTGTGTTGGAAAACTTAAAGTGTGTTTGAAAACTTAAAGTGTGTTTGAAAACTTAAAGTGTGTTAGAAAATTTAAAGTGTGTTGGAAAACTTAAAGTGTGTTAGAAAATTTAAAGTGTGTTGGAAAATTTAAAGTGTGTTGGAAAACTTAAAGTGTGTTTAAACATTTTCAAAGTGTGTTGCACATATTTAAAGTGCGTTTGAAAACATGTAAAGTGCCTTTCGAAATATTTAAATTGTGTTTGGAATTTTTGTGGATTGGTATTTACGTATTTATATGGGTGGCCCCTGTGATATTTTAGATAGGGCCAGGATATTTTAGAAGTGTTTCAAAGCATCAGTGATTTTCCAGCAATCAGAACAATTAGTTATAACATTTCTCCTAAATTCAAGAAATTCCTGACCTAAATGCATATAGGACATGGCACCATTAGTGATTAGTGTGAATTCATATTTAGTTTCCCGTGCATTCCTACAACTATTCCTATAACTATTCCTATAATTTGCGATCTTCATTAAAGTCATGCAAAGAAATTATATTGTACATTTCTGTATTGTTATAAAAGAAAATACTATCGAGTATGTTAAAACAAGTTCACATGTTCTTTTGATTTCTAACTGATACGTATTCTGCAATATAAAAGCTTATCATACACATCTGCCAGACTGCCAACTGTAAAATGACCATTTTAACTGATTTGTGACACAATGTTATGAATGCAGACGATTCGCTCACAATCTTTAAATCTTCAATATAAGAGAAGGTATTTTGGGTATTTCAGCTGTCTTATCAAAATTTTGTCGGTCTCCACATCACATGGTGCTTCCCCCCAAAACGCGCATAAATAAGCGGGACTCAAATTTGATGTTTTGGCAAGTATAGACTGTTCCAATGAGCTTGACTGAATACTGATACAGCGGCGGTGTCGCTAAAGACGACGCGGAACGTTTCGTTTTTCGAGTGTTAGATTAATTAATAAGCTAAATGTTTCATATCTCCAACTCTGAGGATGATTCTAAAAAAGTATAGATAGACTCAGACTTTTGGCGCCTATTTGACTGTGTAATTGTAACTGTACCCGGTTCTAGCGCTGTATAGGCCGAATATATGAATAACACAGTTGTTCCAAACAAATTATCTAAATACCACAGAAACGCGCATGTCGAAGTGGAGCGAGAAATGTGTTGACATTTTGATTGAAGCAGATATTTTTGCAATTGAGCTTTTTAGAGATAATTTACAACGCTTCTGCATTTCGCATCAACCACGGCCAACTACTTATCAGCTACTGATTTTATTGTGTGCCGACAGTGGTGATTTCCGAAAGAATGCGTGTCTCTAATTTTAGACTGTGATGCCTTACGGCTTTTTGCAGTTTCCTGAAAGTACATTTTATCAACATCACTTATATTCATATTTGAACTAATTGATTTGTTTTGGCCAAATTACCAGCCATGTTCATGTTTTCTATATGACAGTTTAACATTAACAGCCCTAAAATCATGTACCGCAAAAGTTGTTCACAACGAACGCGTCGGGTCCTTTGAACTTTCCTTGGCTTTGCTATACAAGCGGGTGATACAACTGATAAACCAGACTGGCAAGGTCCCAACAACTAACTTGATCGGTTAAGAATCATCAGACAGTTTTTTTACTTCTTTCTGCATTATGTTGAAATTATTTGTTCTTAATTATTTGTTGTAATTTCTTTTTCCCGAAGGTGTATTTACTTCGTATATAAGTTATAGTCTAGAGGAATAATTAGTTAACAGTATTAAAGTCAGACTAAGACTAAGTACGAGGACGTCGAGGAGACTCGAAGTTTCCAACGTTTGCTCCATCCGACTGTAGGGGAATTTACATCAAAGAAATTTGGCAAGCGCATAAAGCTTTAAATTGCAGTATAGATGACTGATTCAGTGATTGCTTCTAATATATAACTCCTGATAAGGTTATTAGACTTTTCACATTTTGGTGAATTTGTATCAACGTTATTTGCGAATACATTTCTTTAATTGTACGTTCATCAAAAATCTAAAGGAAAGAACCAGTTTATTGCTCTCCCGCTTTATAAATATATAAGGTGGACCATTTATCGCACATATTTGTTGACGGAAGCGGCTATCGTTTGTCTACTAATGTGTCGTGTGACCTGCCTTTCATGTTAAACCGGGAAGTTAGGGGTGGCCTTACTTCATTATGATCACCTTAGACTTGGTATAAGGAATTTGGCAATCGTTCAAAAGAAATCAAGGAAGACTTAGCTTGTAAAAGCAAGACATTTACTCACATTGCCCACTAAACTTGCACATATATATTTGTAGCACTCTTTCTACCACTAGATATAGCTATCTTGCATGCAGTGACCTTCACGGCTATGCCAAAGAAATGTTTATCTGAACAATATAAATGTCAAAACAAATTCCGAAAAATAAGATCTTGCATGAGTATCTAAAATATGGATTAGAAAAGAATTAGTTTTTCAGTCTGATGCTGAATTTGAAAAAATAAAGGAATATCACAACTCGTGTCTATATATGCTCTTTTAAAACTTTCGGCTGGCACTGGTTCCTAAACAATACATAAACTTGCAATTTTTTTTTATTTTAGTGTAAACGACAAATCATATCAGTTTTGATATTTGAGAACTGCAGTTGCCGAATTCCTTGAATCACCAAATAAGTTCTTGGAAATTAAGTTGTGCATTCAGCTGGCGGTAATATGCCACTATCTTATAAGGTCATGTCTGGGAATCTCCTGAGAGTGACTAGCTCTTTCTTTATAGCTTTGCATGACATGATAAGCTTACAAGTTTAATCTCCATCATCCAGGCTGCCCTTCCTACTTAGATAGTATCAGCAAACCCTGTCTTGTCTGATGGTTATTTCAATAAAAACCTTTTTAAAAATGTCATATATGGTTAGGGCGAGTTGCCTGTGGTATACTGATTGATGAATTTTTTACTTTGTGTTCATTTCGTGATATATCGCTTAATGAACTCAATGGTATGTTGTTGATTTTACCTACTATTGCTATACATGTGTTCAAGACTAACGTTCCAGCAGGTGTTTTAATATATGACAGTACCAAAGTATAGGTAGTCCTATGAATTGTATGTAAAGAAAGGTTTTGAGATTGATAATTGTACTGTTCGTTGTTCATAGACCCTCAGAAGTCAGATCTGTTGGTTAAAAAATATGTATAGGTTAAAAACTTGTGCCTATTGGCGGTTTCGACCACCAGTCCCAGCGTCTACTCAAAACGCTTGGGCCTAAAGTATATAGAAATATAGTCTTTATAGAAACAAAAACTGATACTTTGAAAATGTATGAATTTATAAACGAAGTTTCTCCCTACAGCTAGATTAGTCAACAGAATTCCGGGGTTGGGTCAGTTCTCAATTCAAAGGGAACAGGAAAACGTCCGAAGGAAACGAGATTACAACACATATAAAGTGGGTGCAGAATATATGTTACACTTTGTGTTACTAAATGTTTATACTGCGCCTTTGACCTAAGAAGGGGTAACGACAGCACCCATCTTTTGGCACGTCCGTTCATCTGTGTTTAATTGTATGCAACTTCCTGTGATTGGCTCGGCCATTTGTCTACATCATTTTCATTAATAAATAAATAGACAGGGGCTCAACCTTTGCTGACTTTGGCCGTGGGATTAGCCAAGCGCAAACTTAGGCCTACACTTGCCTCAACGCTTTCGGATTATTATTGCTGTCTTGAAAAAAAGGATAAATTTCTTACATTCAAAAAGAAACGCTGAATCGTTTGATGCGTCACTATCAATTGGAGTAACTGAAAGTCTGTTTCAAATAATTCTTGTATTGAAGCACCTGCAGGAGGCACTGAGTGAAGAATTGAACTGATCGAAGCCACCAGCGCAAAGAAGTGAAGGAAGATATCTGTGATTGTTTAAAGGTAACAATTTTTAAGTATCTATCACTGAAATATTGTTATTCATTATCTCTCCATCCAACTAAATGACGCAAAATTTTCACTTTAAATTTAAAACCGTGCCTGCGTATGATATGTATTCCGAAATATGTTGATCGACTAAATCGGACTAATGGTATTTTTTTAGTTAAACACATAACTAAAAGAGTCTCCAAAAAGGCCGGTATATTCATAACAATATGAAAGCATGTTTGTCTGACTTCCCTATATATCATCATGAAGATAGCTATATAGATCTTAGATGAGGTTAGATCGCTATAAGTTACCTACACAGAGCTAGTTTGGTGATAAGTTGACATGTAGCGGTAAACAAACAACTCTTATTGTTTTAGGCATTGCCCAAGTATATAAGCTGCACAAATGATGCTTTTGTTTTGGCTTGTAGTCACCGTCTTATTAGCCACGTCTAACGCGGAAAGACCACGGGTAAGTCAATGTTTTAATAAGTAAATCAGAGATACCCTGCAAGCTTTCTGCCCGGGATTCCAATGCGTCCAATTCCTTGCGTTACAAACGTCTAATGTGCAAATTCGCGCAAAGTAAACATGATGCGCAAACTGGCGATGCGGTCTTGGTAACCAGACTGCATAATTGGTTTAGTAAGAAAAACTTGTGTGATTCCAATTCTAAAAGTATTTCATAAATTTAATCATTTTTAAGTACCGCTTTCGTTGGAAAACTTTTTTATGATAATTTTCGGGACCTTTGACCTTTATGACATACACCTATAACACCTTACCATTGACTCAAGACCATTTCAAGATTTGATTGCTTATTTGTTTGTCGCGAATATTCAAGCATATTTATGACCAATGGAATTAGATAGGGGCGCACCCTTTTTAATCGTCTTGTACTGTGGCTTATTTCTTTCTCCGGCTCTGCTTGAAGCTTGAATACGCCACGCTTTTGTACGAAACTAATTGCATGAAGTGAAGATCAAAGCCTGTTCGAGTCTGTTTTCCAACCATATTTATCGCCGCAAAATGTGTAGTAATAGCGCAGGTAAAAATGCAGGTTTCCTCAGCATTCAGCTGGAACTAATGAGCCGTTGAAGTGAAGAAGTAAAATTCAATTCTTATATCGGCTTTTCTTTTCGAGATGCCAAATGGAATATTCGATCTTTTCAAAAAGCATTTAAATTCAAACATGGCAATATTTCCCACGCAGCAAAATTTGCATGCGACACATATCAATCCTAAAGATATCTGATGAGATAGTTATTATAGTTTGCATGTACGATCTAAAGCCGTGCTGGTTCTGCCATCATCAACACAGTGAATATGCAACGTAGTTATATGGTCTATTATAGAAACACTAGGTCACATGCAGTATTTTCCCATTTTTTAGGAATTTTCGGAAAATTACTAAAATGAAGGTGGTAAATAGCCGGGATAGAACCAATATCAATATTTTTTACCATTTTGAATCTCGTTAGACTCTCTACGTGACTACTGAAACGAAAATTTATAGTAGCTATGAATTCCCAGTAGCTACATTTTTGAAATTTTATGCCTTCGGGTGGGAAAATTGAGCCGGCGATGCACGAAAGTCTTGTTCAAATGAACAAGTCAAACAATTCCCGTGAAATTTCCATATCAATTATTTAGAGGGTTGTCGAGAATGGGTTGACTTTTCAACTTGTTTTAAGCAATTGTATGGTCGATTCATCGATCTGTTTTGTGTGTCAGGCTTCAGTTATGGCACGGTTAATAGAACTTATGGTAAATGAAAAAAAATAATGAAATACTTACGGAGTATCTGTATAAAGGTCTGTTCACACAATTTTGTTGGATCCAATTCATTTCTGATGGATGTTTTACTTTTATAGTCACTGTTTTGTTATGTATGTGCACAGATAAAGCCAGTGCACTTCATCAATAACTGACTATATTCCATACGTCAAAAGTGAATTGGATCCAACAAAATTGGATCGTGTGATTGGTGTGAACAGACCTTAAGAAAAGGAAGTTAGTTTTAATTTTGAGTGAATTCCAACCCAGAGTTATGCCATTTTAAATACCATGGGGCCATATCGATAGTGTGTATATACTATATCTTTTCTTTATCACTTGGACATTCTATATTTTTTCTTGGCCCCTGTCAATGTAGTCTTGTGGCATGTGCTTCATACGAGTGCCAAGGCTAAAGGGAAGATGTAAAAACCGCGAGTTTCCATTTATTTTGGTGGTGTCATGACACCACTCCCGTATTTGGCCTTCCGTAAGGGATTTAACAATAAGTGTTTTGAAATATCATCCGGACATGATGATATTTTGTTAATAGTCGACAGTCTAAAATTGTACGCATTAGAAAATTATCAACAGTCTTCGCATTCACTGGCAATGTCATGTGGGCATTAACCGGGATATTAATTAATGAGTTCGTGTGTTTAATCCATTAAATCGATTGTTATTCATTATGTTATAATATTAGCGTGTGAATATTACAAGTTTGTCGATTTTTTCCCATATTCGGTTAAAAATATTCGCTGCTTTTAATTACGTCATGATCAATGTCTGTACGGCTCTGAGAGGCTGATTGCTGAAGTGTGAAGTTGACTTCTCAAACCACATTGCAGCCTCGGCATATGCCCGTACATGAGCCTTTTAAGAAAACATTGTTGCAAAAACCTAAAGTCAATTTCCGTTTGTTATCGGCTTGCAAGCCTCATTTGACATCTCATACCGTTCGTGGCTTACATTTTTGATAGAGGCAGCTGGGTAACGCCCTTAATTTCCGAGGATGCCGCTCTCTTATCGCAAATGAAGCCTTTGCAGTCTTTTTGCTCGGCCAAGTTTAACATTTACAAAAAGAAAATGCATCAAGGCCCTCAAAACGACATTTGATCTCTGGATGGGAATTTATACCCAACAATGAAACAAACCGGCGTATACTTTGCAATGTAAACCCACACAGGGTGTTTGTTATTTTTGGCATGTGTGAAATACAACGCGCCTGCCATGTTATATTATGATAGCTAGTGTAACATAAATACAGTAAAAGACAGTTGAAGTACTGCAATATAATAGAGTAAAATATGAATATAACGAAGAAAATTTGATGATTTCTACCGGTTATAGAATGACATATTACAATTAAAATTTCTAGACTGAGCTAGTTCGTCGTTTTAAGCAAACATACGTGTACTTATATAAAACTCAGTTACAACAATACGACCTTAGGTGCATGCGTGACGTGGGTTGCATAAATAGATACATTCAAAATTAATCAAATAGTTGCATAAAGGAATATTACCCATGATAATATTGTTAAAGCTAAGCTATCGAAACTATAATCAATGTTAGTTTGATGTCGAAGCATGTATATTTTCCTATTAACTTTGTCATCATTTCTTAGCTCGGTCTTGCATGTCCATTTACCTTATGAGATTGGGCTTTTTAAGAGGTTTTATATGGGTTGTTTGATCTACTTGTCCAATGAAAAAGTTAAAGTACACATGCAGCATTTCATTGGGATTTTTATATTTATGTTGTCCATGAAACGAGAATCATGCTCTTAGAAAGAATCTGCACCTTCGTGGCTGTTAAAATTGACGAAGTGACGTCATTTGAGAGAATGAAACTGATCAGGTTTTTCTTTAACTTCGTGGCAAGTAATAACTTTATTAGCCTATTTGAAGAATTTGTACTTTAAAGAAACAACAATCCACGTTTCGAGACGTACGGAAAAAACTCGTGCTGTTAGCCACATGTGTCCCGGCATGAATTCCAGCAACTTTTCATGGCAGAAATGTTAGCACTAACTATACCTGCTCGTGCAACAAGTAAAGAACACTTATTAAATATACAATTATGGAAATACGACATGCAAAAGTTTAAGTTGTTGCGTTAATTTTACAGCTAGACCTATATCGGTGCTATATAGCTGCATGTATGAAATGCCATTCGTTTTTGTACTGCTGAGTCTACGGCACAAGCAATGTTTGCACATTAATAGGTCTAAGATGACAAATTAAGTCGATTTATAAAACGCACCAAATAGTTCGGATCCTGTGGGTGTAGGTTAAGAAAACATGTCATTTTTTAACATACCGAAATTTCATCAGTAATTTCATAAGCACGAGTCAGTCGAACGTAAGATAAAATAAGGTAACGCAGTTGATGTGATAGCAATCGGTGATTATTAATCGAAACCATCCACCACACCTATTATAATTCCATCTGCATACTTGTTTGTCCCGATGCACTGTATCTGACACCCCAGGCCTGTCGTCAATACTATTCGTCCTCTCCCTTAAGTGATTTGACTATCCGGCGAAATGTTTGATCTTACATGCGGCAAGCTTTGCCTTTGAAGATGACTTTTGTTTCATCAAAACTTGTAATCAATCTTTGCGTTACTCTTTCGATTTATTCGCACGCCGCGAAGCGAAAACTGAAACGGGCAATGTAATCTGCGAGTGGAAAAGTCGCTGTGACAAAGTTGGATCGATTTTTTTTTAGTTCGCGCAAACTGGAATGGGCTTTAGTGGCAGATGGTGTTATAATTGTTACCTTTATCACTAGATATACTGAAGAATTAATGTTTGTAACTTGGCACGTTTTTCGCAGGACGCAAAGCGAAAACCGAAGAACAGCAGTATGATCGGTTGGCGAAACAGTTTGATTCCTTTCCACAGTTTTCGAACTTTACTGAGTTTTACAACAGGTTTCAGTAGGCCACAGTTACCCACACATCAAACGATATCCAGCTTTGCGCCGCGAATTTTTATAATATAGCAGCGAATATCATCACCACGTCTATAAATATCTAGAAAGAGTTAAAAGTTGTTTGAGGTAAAAACTGTATAGTTTATAGAGAAAAAACAATTTTCTGTTATTTTAATAATGAAAGTTAGTTTTTTATTCTTTTAGTCCTCTGTCAGAAATGGAAGATCGTCATCAGGTAAGTACATTCTGCCGAGTCTATACGCCGCTGAAACTGACAACTAGTTGAATACAAAAATGAAATATATAATAGCCTTTGTATTTTTCTACAATCTGGATAATCTTAGTTTTCTTCATTACACATTGTAGATTCAATCCCAACCTTTTCATTTGGTTCAGGATTAGAGAAATCAACTATATCTACAACAACATCAGGTGCGCCGACTACTGCGACTAGTATTCTACCTAATTCCGTAATTGGCGCAATAACCAATGACCCAACCGATGCACCAACAGACAATAAAACTCATGGGCCGACTGGTGAAATAACTGATGATGGACTGACTGATTCCTCTAAGAGAGTTTTAAGCGATGAGCTAACTAATGTGAAAACAAATAGAACAACGGATGGACCAACAGTTGGGAGAACTAATGCACCAACCGAAAGAAGAACAGGTGCATCGACTGATAGACGTACCGATACACCGACTGTGAAGCCAACTGATACATCATCTGATGGAAGGACTGATCTAGTGAATGAAAAGTCTAATGACGTAACAACTGATACAATTACCGATAGGCTAATTGTTGCATCAACTGATGCTTCAACTGATGCTTCAACTGATGGTCCAACAGCTGCTTCAACTGTTGCTTCAACTCATGCTCCAACTGATGCTTCGACTGATGATTCAACTGTTGCTCCAACTGATGCTTCAACTGATTCTTCAGCTGATGCTCCAACTCATTCTTCAACTGATGCCCCAACTGATGCTTTGACTGTCCTTTCGACTGTTGCTTCGACTGTCGCTTCAACTAACACTTTAACAGAGGCTCCAACTGATGCCACAACTGATGCTTCAACTTATGCTCCAACTGAAGGGTCAGCTGATTTTCCAACTGATGCTCCAACTGATGCTTCAACTGATGCTTCAACTGATGCTCCAACTGAAGCTTCAACTGATAATCCAACTGAAACTGCAACTGATGCTTCAACTGATGCTTCAACTGATGCTTCAACTGATGCTCCAACTGAAGCTTCAACTGATAATCCAACTGAAGCTGCAACTGATGCATCAACTGATGCTTCAACTGATGCTTCAACTAATGCTCCAACAGAGGCTTCAACTAAAGCTTCAACTGATGCTCCAACTGATGCTTCAACTGATGTTCCAACTAAAGCTCCAACTGATGCTCCAACTGAAGCTCAAACTGAAGCTTCAACTGATGCTTCAACTGATGCTCCAACTGAAGCTGCAACTGATGCTTCAACTGATGTTCCAACTGAAGCTCCAACTGATGCTTCAACTGATGCTTCAACTGATGCTTCAACTGATGCTTCAACTGATGCTTCAACTGATGCTTCAACTGATGCTTCAACTGATGCTCCAACAGAGGCTTCAACTAAAGCTCCAACTGATGCTTCAACTGATGCTCCAACTGATGCTTCAACTGAAGCTCCAACTGATGCTTCAACTGATGCTTCAACTGATGCTTCAACTGATGCTTCAACTGATGCTTCAACTGATGCTCCAACTGATGATCCAACAGAGGCTTCAACTGATGCTCCAACAGAGGCTTCAACTGATTCTCCAACTGATGCTTCAACTGATGTTCCAACAGATACTTCAACTGATGCTCGAACTGAAGGGTCAGCTGATGTTCCAACTGATGCTTCAACTGATGCTCCAACTGGTGCTTCAACTGATGTTTCAACCGAAGCTCCAACTGATGCTTCAACTGATGCTTCAACTGATGCTTCAACAGATGCTCCAACAGAGGCTTCCACTGATGCTCCAACTGATGCTTCAACTGATGCTCCAACTGATGCTTCAACTAATGCTTCCACTGATGCTCCAACTGATGCTTCAACAGAGGCTTCAACTGAAGCTCCAACTGGTGCTTCAAGTGACGCTCCAACTGATGCATCAACTGATGCTCCAACTGATGCTTCAACCGATGCTCCAACTGATACTTCAACTGATGCTTTAACTGATGCTTCAACAGAGGCTTTAACTGATGCTCCAACTGATGCTTCAACTGATACTTCAACTGATGCTTCAACTGATGCTTCAACAGAAGCTTTAACTGAAGCTCCAACTGATGCTTCAACTGAAGCTCCAACTGATGCTTCAACTGAAGCTCCAACTGACGCTTCAACTGATGCTTCAACTGATGCTTCAACAGATGCTTCAACTGATGCTTCAACTGATGCTCCAACAGATGTTTCAACTGAAGCTCCAACAGAGGCTTCAACTGATGCTTCAACTGATGCTTCAACTGATGCTTCAACTGATGCTTCAACTGATGCTCCAACTGATTCTTCAACTGATACTTCAACTAATGCTGCAACTGATGGTGCAACTGATGCTTCAACTGATGGTGCAACTGATGCTTCAACTGATGCTCTAACTGATGCTTCAACTGATGCTCTAACAGAGGCTTCAGCTGAAGCTCCAACTTATGCGTCAACTGACGCTCCAACAGATGCTTTAACTGTTGCTTCAACTGTTGCATCAACTGATGCTTCAACCGATGCTTCGACTGATGCTTCAACTGATGCTTCAACTTATGCTTCAACTGGTGGTCCAACTGATGCTTCAACTGATGGTCCAACTAATGCTTCAACTGGTGGTCCAACTGATGCTTCAACTGTTGGTCCAACTGATGCTTCAACTGATGGTCCAACTAATGCTTCAACTGGTGGTCAGACTCATGCTTCAACTGTTGGTCCAACTGATGCTTTAACTGGTGGTCCAACTCATGTTTTAACTGGTGGTATTACTCATGCTTCAACGGGTGGTCTAACTCATGTTTCAACTGGTGGTCCAACTCATGCTTCAACTGATGCTTCAACAGATGCTTCAACTGATGGTCCAACAGATGCTTCAACTGTTGCTTCAACTGATGCTTCAACTGATGGTGCAACTGATGCTTCAACTGATGCTTCAACTTATGCTCCAACTGATGCTTCAACTGAAGCTCCAATCAATGCTTCAACTGAAGCTCCAACTGATGCTTCAACTGATGCTCCAACTCAGGCTTCAACTGATTCTTCAACTGATGCTCCAACTGATGTTGTAACTGATGCTGCAACTGATGCTTCAACTGATGCTTCGACTGACGTTCCAACTGATGCTCCAACTGATGCCTCAACTGATGCTCCAACTGATGCTGCAACTAATGCTGCAACTGATGCTGCAACTGATGCTTCAACTGATGCTCCAACTGATGCTGCAACTGATGCTGCAACTGATGCTGCAACTGATGCTGCAACTGATGCTTCAACTGATGCTTCGACTGACGTTCCAACTGATGCTCCAACTGATGCCCCAACTGATGCTCCAACTGATGCTTCAACTGATGCTTCAACTGTTGTTGCAACTGATGCTTCAACTGATGCCTTAACTGATGCTCCAACTGATGCTGCAACTAATGCTGCAACTGATGCTGCAACTGATGCTTCAACTGATGCTGCAACTGATGCTTCGACTGACGTTCCAACTGATGCTCCAACTGATGCCCCAACTGATGCTCCAACTGATGCTTCAACTGATGCTTCAACTGATGCTGCAACTGATGCTTCAACTGATGCCCCAACTGATGCTGCAACTGATGCTGCAACTGATGCTTCAACTGATGCTTCGACTGACGTTCCAACTGATGCTTCAACTGATGTTCCAACTGATGCTACAACTGATACTTTAACTGATGCTTCAACTGATGGTCCAACTGTTGCTTCAACTGATGGTCGAACTGATGCTTCAACTAATGGTCCAACTGATGCTTCAACTGATGGTCGAACTGATGCTTCAACTCATGCTTCAACTGATGGTCGAACTGATGTTTCAACTAAAGGTCCAACTGATGCTTCAACTGATGCTCCAACTGATGCTACAACTGATACTTTAACTGATGCTTCAACTGATGGTGCAACTGATGCTTCAACTAATGGTCCAACTGATGCTTCAACTGATGCTTCAACTGTTGCTTCAACTGATGCTTCAACTGATACTTCAACTGATGCTTCAACTGATGGTCCAACTGATGGTCCAACTGATGCTTCAACTGATGGTCCAACTGATGCTTCAACTTATACTTCAACTGATGCGTCAACTGACGCTCCGACTGATGCTTCGATTGTTGCTTCAACTGATGCTTCAACTGATACTCCAACTGATGTTTCCACGGTTGCTTCAACTGATGCTTCAACTGTTGCTTCAACTGATGCGCCAACGGATGCGCCAACAGATGCGCCAACTGATGTCTCAACTGATGCTTCAAGTGTTGCTTCAACTGTGGCATCAACTGATGTTTCAACTGATGCTCAACCAACAGAAGGGTCAGCTGATGTTCCAACTGAAGCGTCAACTCATGCTTCAACTGTTGCTTCCACTGATGTTTCAACTGATGCTTCAATTGATGCTTCAACTGTTGCTTCAACTGTTGCATCAACTGATGTTTCATCTGATGCTTCAAGTGATGCTCCACCAACAGAAGGGTCAGCTGATGTTCCAACTGAAACGTCAACTCATGCTTCAACTGTTGCTTCAACTGATGTTTCAACTGATGCTTCAACTGTTGCTTTAACTGTTGCTTCAACTGATGTTTCAACTGATGCTTCAACTGTTGCTTCAACTGATGCTTCAACTGAAGCGCCAACTGACGTTGTTACTGATGCTGCAACGGATGGGCCAACGAATGCACCCACAGAGACACCAACTGATCCACTCACACATGGGCCAACTGATGCGCGAACTGATGAGCGAACTGATGAGCCAACTGCTTTGCCGTCTTCAACTGACAATCAGGTGATTACACCCACTTTGCAACCTACGAAAGATATTCTTGGAACAGGTAAGCTTATGGTTTTTTAACATAGAGTCGGAGACTGGTTGCTTGGGCATCCTACAGATGGAATTCTTGAATATTGAGATTCATTTTTGGTGGCGTATTTCACAAAATTGCTTGACGAAGAATGTAAATCTCTTCACCGCACATGATTCACATGCACTGCCTTAGCTTGGAGCAAGAACCATCGTTTTTTCATTTCCAATTGTTAATTTTATTTCTTCTAATAGAAAATAAATATGGAAGATGTGTAGAGCCATCGAGAGTTCAGTTTGGTGATCGCTTCCTTGAATGGCTGGCAATCACTCACGCCGAAGAGCAAGCGAAGAAATCAGAAACTTTCGACGTCATGTCGTACACAGAACAGGTTCGCGCAAATGGCTTACAAGATTCTGAAATATCTGAACTTCAGACGGTATGTATGCTGTAGACTATTTGTCTTGAGAGAAGTATGATAACAAGCGAGTCACGTGAGAAAGAGAGAGAGAGAAAAAGAGTAAAATGCTAGTTTGAGGAAGACCCAATTAGGCTTGTCCATACCTCGAAATGCTTCCTCGCCGTACTAAGAATAATTGTAGAATTAACGAAGACAAGTTTCTTCATTTCTATCACTGTATTTTGTTCAAAATTTACGACATTTTCAGAATTTGTGCTGCGTTAATTTGCTGTCCAGTTGTCTACTGTGACGTGTCGGAAATGTTCACAAATGCAATATGAAAAAGTTGGTTGTGTGTCACAAAAGTATAACAATGCTCTCATGATAATTTTTGTAGTGGAAATTCGACGAACTTGATAGAAATAATGACGATGTTCTTGTAAACCGAGAATTGAAAGTTCTGAACGGTTTATTTGTCAAAGAGCCGTGTCTTTTTGGATTGCTAAACGGATGTGCGCAACGCAATGGAACTGGAATCTCCAGGGAAGAATGGGCGATATGTCTGAACGACTCTAGGACTAATCGGTTAGTGCAACAAATCGCATTTTGAAATTCATCTTATGCGGACTCAAAGCCTTGATCTATGGAAAATCTAGCCCGAATTAATCATTGGTATTCCTCTTGGCTACTGCATGCAATTTTTCGCTTCTTTAAAGCTTGGAGGGGTTTATTACGCAATGGCGTTTTCTAATGGCCTTGTTGCTTCAAAACCATTCAATTCGATCGATACCTGCATGTTAGATAGATGTAGAGTATGGACGATTATTTTGGGAGATCGTTTTATTAAAATTATCTGCTTTTCGTTTTCCCGTATCGGCTCTTCTTAAACCCTGTTAAGCTACACATATCTATTTTATAGGGGAACGCCTAGCGACAAGGAACTTCTTCGTCAATTTGGATATTTATAGTGACAAACCTTTACCTGGTTAAATTTGAGATGTTTGACAATGTTGTTGTGTCAAGAGTCAAGACGTATTGTATACGATTTAAATTAACTATTGGCTTTCCATTTTATCTATACTTTAGGTATATTATGTATTAGAGTCATTACCGCTTCCTTATACTACGCCTATAAATATACGTACTCCTCTTTACGAGTAGGTTTAGAGGGCGACCAGACGTTTGCGTTATTCATATCAGGTCGAATACGCGCGCTGCCAATCGTGGGCCCTGGAAAACCGTTGTGTGACTCGGAAAGTCTCATGAAGACAATTTAGCTACTCGCGTCCACCTTTTATACAACAACTTTACATTTATTTTCTTAAAAAAATGTATTTTAAACGTGGTTGAACGTTGAATTTACGTGCATGAAATTGTGATAAATAAATGTTTATATTTTAGTCAAAATTTTCAATAGAGATCAATTATCAAAATCAATGATGTTTTTACTGGATATTTCTCACTGTTCTTGTAAGATGCACACTAAGGATTGGCTGGTACCAGTTCTGCATGTGTTCAAAATATTGGCAGGATATTTTAAAATATTTTGATTTTAAAAGGTTTTGTATTTTTTCGCATAGTGGAGGTATGCAAGTTGTAATCTAACCCAATCTTGGCCTAACCCTCAAATGTCTTCAAACGTGAGGCGCGTTCAATTTAACTCCAGTCTTAAATTTAACTCTTATATCGTTTCAGGTACACTTCAATGGTAAACGGTTCAATGATTAACGTTGATTTTAATGAACCTGCGAATTTTTTTCAAAACGCTGATGAGTTCGTGATAAAACCGTAAAATATCTATGATTAATCAGTGAATGATTTACTGAAAATCCCCTGGATTGATTAGCTCTCTTGGGCACAGGGCTGAAACTAAAACGATAATTGCATGGGAGGGTGCTTATTCATATATTCAGTTCTGATTATATTCTGCTTGCGCATCGCAGTAATAATAATACAGTTATCTTTACTACTTTTCTACACAACCAAGCCACTTATGTTGACCACTGGGAACGTTAAGTAAAACAACCTTCCACAAACGATGTTCGCGGTACGTAGCCTTCAAACAATCTTCTACAATTGATGTTCTATAACTTTTCACTCAAGTAGTCTGCATGAGTAACCCGCACGGAATTAACTTATAATAAAATTATAATAACCTGTTATTTATTTCGTCATAATTATATACATCTGCGGTCGTAACCTGGCATTTCCTTACAATCATAGTTTATTATATTTGAACTTAACCTTTGTCTTAAACTTTAGCACAGTTTTAAATTTAGAAAAAGACTAGGCATGGAAGAAAAAATGGTGAAGGGATAGCGGGAAAAGCGATATGATACATTAAGCTGCGGTCACTGACACATGCACTGTTTACGTCATATACTATCAATTATTAACGCCCTATTTTCGTAATTATCCACAAGTACGACACTGTACTTCAAAATTCAAGTTGGAAACCACGAAAGAAGTTCCGCTCAATTCAAATATATTTGAAATAAACGAAATAGATGGCTAGAAAAACTACGGATATTAGTAAATAACCAGTGACATGCAGTGAAAAGGTGTCTTCAGTTTGTCGGTGTTCAAATATAATGAATCAAGTCAATCAACAAGCACGTCCTCATCCCATCCACAGTCCACAGTCCCATCCACACACAGCTTATTATTATCCTGCGGCTCCTGCATTTTACGTACAGGATGGATTTCACACGGAACAACCTTACTACGCTGGAGGATTCTCTAACCGTCCAGTTGTCTACATATACAGCGATGAATATCAACGGAGGAAGGATGCCGAAACTGGACTGTTTGCTTTGATGTGTGCTACGTTATTTTGTTGCTGCATTCTACCACCTGTACCACATTGTTATTGATGTCGGGGGAAATGTTGGAATAATGCCGGGAAATAAAACACAATTGATTCAACCAATGATTTTCATAATTTTTACTAAAGTATCGATTGCGACCTGTCTCATTTTTGTGTTGAAAGATATCAATATACAAGAGAAATCTAGGCCTGTGTGATTTCATTTTCATATGGATATCATTAGACGTATAGTATATAGCTTCTTTATAATACAAAACAAATTTTTAAACGTTACCTCCATGCACCAATCTCCACTTTTTTTTTGACAAAGAGTAATTACATTCACTGTATAGTAACCCTATATAAAAATGTATTAATATAATCTATTCATAGAAAAACGTAAGATAAAATAGCTCGTTACCATTTATATTTTAAACGTTTTGATGGTTCGTAATAAATATTTCGCCTTGTTGTGCTGGTAGCATGCACTTCCTTGATTGACAATAGATTAATGACAATAATACCCAACATCATCGTAAGCCGCGTGCTGCGAGACGGTACAAATCACCCTATGTCCAATTTGTAAAAGAAAAGTGAAGCATTGCATTTTGGTCACGCGAACAATGTGGAGGACTGGCTGGACTGCAATCACAAAAAAGTAAAACTGTCTTACTATAACGGAGTACAAACGCTCTGAATTTCAACGTTTGTAAGTGCAATGATATGGTATGAATATTTTTATGAGGTGAAAGATTCAATGCTCGAATATCTACAATTCAACCGATAGATAATGGACGATAAACGCGTAATAATCATCAAGCTGAATTGTATTTGACCAAGTGCGACATATACATATAACGTATAGGTCATAAAAACCGAAAGCTAGAATGTACGTTCGTGTACTCTACGGCTAAAGAAAACGAGAAGTGAAAGCATCATGCAGGTCCCGTTTACCGGGTGTCCCATAAAAGTACCCTCCGTTGAAATCAGATTTTTTTGTTTTAAACGTGAGTTGTGACACCTCGAGTGAATGGAGAAGTAATGATAACTTCCGGATCAGCCAAATAACATATCGTTTCTTTTCCTTTACAAAAATATCCATTGTTCTGTAGTCATTTGCATGCATGGTGTGTACTTGAATTTGCGGTAAGACGAATTTGTGATTTAGCACTCTTTGTATTGCTGTTTGTTTTAGAATCTAGTAAAAAATCCCCAAAGTATACTGACTACACAGTACACCGATTCATAACAAAAGATCTTATTTCAATGAGGGTACTTTTTTCATCGAACACCCCCCTGCATTTGTCAGTCCGCCGGCTGTGTCGATTAAAAGTTAATAACAGAACCAAACTCCGTCATGATCATTTAAAAGAGGTTAGTCTTGCAGTCACTTTGTCTATACTTGCAGGTAAAGGAATCCCAATGATCTCTGCGAATATTGCTGTACCGATTTGCCGGAGTTGAACTAGAACCGGGTCGAACAGCTGTTTATATGCATGGTGAAGTTCATAACATCTGATAAGCTTTGCAATGTTATTCTCATGGTTTTAAACACCTTTCTCTTGTATTTTCTATATCATTTAGAAATTAGAGATTAGAATGAAGATCCCGGACGAAAGATTCAAAATTTAAAAGAAAACTGTTAGTATATACGCGTGTAAGTTTTTAAGAAAGCTTTAATTTTTTATTAATTTTTCAATACAAAAGTTCTGTAGCCGGGCATCTATTAGAATGTGTAATTTGTTGTCGGGACATATAATTTTAGAAAGGGAATGAGTTAACTTTGTGTTCAAAGGTGTCCATGCAGTTTAATGTGCAGGTACTCGGCCTATGGACACGCAGTAAATGGCTGAATCACATAGGTTATTAGAAAAGCTTAATTGGCCAAGATATCAAGCAGATAATGGGGACAAAAAGTCTCCTTTACGAGGCTTTAAGTGCAGAACCAGAGTGATCATGCATAATGACGTGCCAAGTTTTTGTTAGCAATCACACAAATTTCGGCGGGTCCTGCGTGCATGGTAGTGAAAACATTACGGTACTGCAATAAACTTTAAATTGAAATTTAATATGGAAAAATTACATTTTCATGGTCAATCGTTAACAATCTTTTCTATCAGTGAATCTAAACTAATGATAACATGCAAGCATTGCGTTTCCTAATTATAATCAAAAAGTTTATCAAATTCTTAAAAATGTCCAGAAGAATCCACGCAGGCTTTTCACTCGCATGTTGGCGCACACTTGAAGTCAAACGGTGCTTCTTTAAACTCTTCACAATCAATTCCATCGCTGCTGTTGTTTTTGTTAGCCGACTCGAATGTTTTCTGCACGTCTTTTGAAGTCGCTTCCAGATTTGTTGCGGCTGCGAATTCATTCGGGTCTATCTTACCGTCTTCATTCGCGTCATAGTAGTTGAATTTGCAAGGGAAGCCAACTTCGAGGTTGTTCGCTGAATCCAGTGATCGCTTGCCAAGCGAGTTTTTTGCGCAGCATGGAAAGCAGACAAGAACACTGCTGATGTGATTTTCAGTCCTCGAACGGCAACAACTCGGACGAACTTTTACTAGTAACAGTTTTACTTCACATATGCGACAGCTTGAGGCACAACTTATTGCGAACAGGGCCAGGAAGAGGATGAAAATGGTCTTCATGATTCTCCTTCTATATGTATGGACAGAAAAACAAGACTTTAGTTCATTACTTCAAAAATCCTGTGTCCCATGCATATGCAGTTACTTTCCTTCATCACTGCATGGCCTTGAGCTCCAAACTCTAGTGACAGATTCCGTAATAGTTTCGCTTTTGCGTATAGCAATTTACATAACAACTGTGCATCTGAATGCGAGCTTTAAAAGCTATAAAATAACTCGCTGAAGCCTGAAGAAAAGCTGCGAGCACTTTGGAAACTGCTTTGCTTCACATAAAAATGGGTACAGTATTCGATCGATATTTAAGAATAACTTACCAGTTAGACGAGAAATGCACTTGATGGATACTGGATAGAGTATATTTATGAAGTCGATCCTTCTTAAAGGAATTGTGATTTCATGTGTACAGTCGTTGCTCCTTTATATATACTCTACTTGCGACGCAGCGGAACTTGTATTTGCTGAGATGGGTCTGATTTTTTTAATTGCTAAAGCTGCATCATGGTGTGATAATTTGCACACCGGGCACAAGACTATTCACAGCTCGATTTACTTAGTGTTTATCCACATTTTTTTATATTTCTGCACTTGCTTCAAGAAATTTCTGCGAGGAAGTATCATTTTCTATAAACAAGCATGCAGCTTCCTGATTCGTATACTTAAAATCGAGGTTGTAAATATTATGAAATATAGTCTTTGCAGGGCGTGGGTCGATGCATGCCCTATAGCTCAACAAAGGGCGGCTGGAACATATTTTATATTGGAGAAGAGGCTGAGTTTAAAACTGTTCATCGTTTTGTGTGACCGCGAACATAAAAAAATTGAAACTGCTAACATGCATCATGCAAACATGAAATACGAATGCAGTCCATACTGATATAGTATATATTCTCGATTTGACGTACATGCAGAGAACAAACAGAATATAGAATACATTGCTATAGTGAAGTTCGTATTCATACATGCAATGTTCTATTCTATAAAATTGTTTCTTGTTTGTGTAAAATTTCTTCATGGGCTATAAGTACTCCGATGCATGGAAAATTTAACGCATGTATGTAGCAATCAGGTGTAGATGCATGTATTGTATTTGGGCGTAATCATAGTTGATGCTTTTACTTGCATGGGTATTATTATTTAATGTGGAAAGTCACATGCACCACCTATTCTATCACCCCACACCTGCATGCTCTTTCCTCTTGCCAGTTTTCCGCCCTTATATCTGGAATGAAAGGTGCATGTATATAGCTTTTTGGCCCAATATATATATCTTGGCATGAAAACAATCATTATTATCTTTATAGATTTTGGGGATATTTTAGGGAAATATTCATCACCGAAAAATGCCGCCATACTGAAACGGATATAATTATGTTACATGCTCCATGCAGTTATGAGAGCGAAAGCATTTTGCTAGATATATCTACATACTTTTACAACCGTGACGCGGCGGCGTTGCTGAAGCGGATATGTGTACAATGTTTAATTTGTGTGCTTCAATCTAGCTTCTAAAACTATAGCATATTGGAGAAAATGTTAATTAAAGGGAATGTTTAGATGCTTCTATTCGCTGTGGGGCGGCGTCGTTTTGCTGAAGCGGATATGTGTACATGCATGCATTGTTTATAATTTGTCTGTTTCAATTAATCTATATAGCTGCTGTAATAATAACTGCATGTTGCTATTGGAGGAATTGTTTAAAATTCAAGGGAATGTTTGCCTGCTTCTATACTGTGGCGCGCGGCAGCGTTTTGCTGAAGCGGATATGTCGGCTTGTTCTAAATTCTAAAAATAACGTGCAGAAGTGCGGTTTACATTTGTAGTAAGTTTGTAGTAAGTAATACAAAATTTCATTGAAATAGCAGTGACGTTTTATCAATAGGACAAAATAATAATTATAATAATAATCAGTATCAAATCCCTTTAACAAACCACAGCCTTAGATAATGGCACAACCTGGCAGTTTTTGCATTGCAAATTGGAAGAAACGACAGCTAGGAATTAAGGTTGATAATGGACGCCAATGTTTATATGTAAGATTTGGACACGAAGCCGTTTATTTTCGTATATGCGAGAACTTTGCGACTTAAGTTAGCCGCGCAGCTTATTTTGATTTTGGACAAGCTCTGAAGCCTGGGCTGATTTAGGCCGCCGCTTATTTTAGCCGGCTCAATTTCGTTGGTGTAAATATGGCCCCATTATGTCGCCTAAGCCTGCATTATTAGGTAAAAGTGGGCCATATATAGCTATAGATATGTTCTGTTCAGTTAGGATGGGCGCTTTCTGCAACGAAATACCTTCCTAGCTGCTTCGTTTAGACGGGCATTTGTTGTGACAAACGTATCGTGGGATGCATACGCTAAATAAATTAATTTATACAAATTCAATGTTAGAGTATAAAGATTTTATAGGATAAAATTATACGGACATGCAATTAACAAGGAGTTATAAGGTCTTAGGGCCGATGTGCACATCAGATTAACTCATGGTAGCTGACAAGCTATATCCATAACAACGATTTATTATATAACTGAAACAATGATTATAATTTAGAGTATATACTATCAAAAAAAGGTTAAATTAATTTTTTCTAATATATTTATTGAAAATATTCATGACTCAATTGATTGCTTTGCATACAACATGATATACATAAAAAAGATTAGCCTGTAGGCTACACTAGGTGTATTTTGAGGAAATTCGAATTTAGAAGGCATCGTCTAACTACTTTTAAATGGTCTGTTGGATTTGAAAAGAGACTGAATACTGAAAACTGTCAGCTGAATGACAACAACAGTTGATTGATGAATGAATTCAAAGCGGAAAGTTAATAACTGTGTTATTCGAGTAAACATGCATGCATGAATGTAAATTGAGTTTTATTGAAAAATGTATATCAAATCAGTAATAGCAATAATAGTATAATAATCGATATTAAGAGCGCGTTTTGCGCAGCGAAGGCAATAAAAGATAATAGTATTCATGCAGGTTGGTAACTAGAACGATAATTGGGAGGGAGGGGGTGAATATTCATATATTGAGTTCTGCCCGACGGATTTCTATTGTAAGCTATTGCACTTACAAAAAAAAAAAAATCCGTCGGGCAGAACTGAATATATGAATATTCACCTCCCCTCCCCAATTATCGTTCTGGTTACGCCACACCACTGAATATATTTGTTACCATGTGCTTGATATGGAAAACGTATGCCATGATGAGGCACGATCGAACGCAGCTGCGGAGCTCTCGTTAACTAATTGAACAGAAAGTCCTTCATAACGCTTTTACAAGCTTATATCAATATAGACTAACAATAAATGTGACAAGTAACGGGTGATATTTTATATTTTATGAAAATACAAATTGTACAGGAGTGCCAAAACGAAGTCCATGCATATATGTTTGTAAAACGCTGGAGCAACAAATTAATCCAAAATGGATTTACACGCTTTGAAAGACTGCGAACAGAAATCTGTTGTTCCATTGGTTGAACACTACAGCGAGAAACGCAAAAATCCTGAATATACTTTCGAAACAACGATGGAGGACAAGGGGGTGAATAATAACGGCATGCTTGCTGATTGTGAGAAAGTGAATGCGGTTGGAAATATTGATAGTAGAGCCGAATCCTCTGTCCCGACCATTAGATTTAGGTATAGAGCTACTCAAAGAATCAAAAAGGTTTTAAAGGTGAGAAGGATTAGTCGTGATATCGATATAATTAGTACAGAACTCTCTCCTTGTCCTGCGGCAGCCTCAATCTCAGGAATACGTCATATATATGATGAGCTAACAACTTCTTTCGTTTCATGAACACGTCGTTACCTTATATTCGGCATTCTTGCTGCATTTCCCATGTATGGTCGCTTAGTATGGTTTACATAACATAATTTTTGTGCAACGCTGTATTAATTTCTTTTCCTATTCAGATATCCATTTCTCATTCTATATTTTCAGGTGGTTTACATGTTGCATTTTTTCCCTCGATTTTTCTTGCTGGTTATTTTTTCTGGTTTCGACACGAAATGTGCTTTATTTGACAAAGCATCAGTGGTTAATTGTAGTCAAGTGTTTCTTGTTCCACAACCAAAATACTGGTGTTTTGCCTGGATGATCACATCCACATGTTTATCAGCAATTGTTATAGCACTTGTCTGGACATACAACAAGCGAATCAAATATGATTTTCGAAGTTCAATCAAAAAGCTTATCAGGAAAGCGTCCTTCTGGAGAATGAACTTCTTTTTAAGCGTAGTGTTCATCGAGTACGCCGTATCATGGAAAACCGCGAACGGATTATTAGCAACCTTGCATGTTTTAGCCTTTGCCAGATGGTTTTCAACAGCTCTTGTAGTCTTTTGTTTTAATTATGTCAATCCAAGTAAGATTGTTAATGTAGGGAAATGGTATTATCAGATTGGATACTGGCTAACTTTACTAATGTATTTGGCAGAGTGTACAGCTATATTATTGCAGTATTTGCTTAATTCAACACTGATACTACCTGCAGTTGTTGATCATAAGGATGGAAGCTATCAAGCATTGGTTCTTATTGTACTTGGGTTTAAGGTGGCTTTAAGCTCCCAATTCCTAACTTTCTTTTTGGAGAAGATCTTCCATGGTGATAAAGATCTGTTTTCAGAACCCGGAGATCCTGTGGAGATATCTTGAAGACACAGCTGTATAGCTTAGCTTTTTTTTCGAAGCACATTAGTTTTTATTAACATATAATTATGCTGCCATGCACAGCATGTATGAATGGTCTCTGATTTTGTGCCATTTTCATATTCTTTCGCTGTTCAGATGTCGATGGGGCAGCCCTGTGTATATGTGCCACCAGTACCATACGTCGCCATGCATTTTGCCAAAATGCAATATAACTGAAAAGCAATTTAACTAAATTTTTATAGTCTAAAAATTTAGTTAAAATGCTTTTCAGTTATATTGGTCGGAAAAATACAACATAAATTCGAGTGACTGATTCGTTAACTATGCAACACACTCTGTGTTACACATTAGACGCTCAAAACTGATTTGTTAAATTATCTGGACGGCGATTCTGTGATTTTGAGCTTCATAAAATACTGAATTTTGAAATCTACTATATGCCTAAACTCGGAATCTACCGAGTTTTTCAGCCCTGGCATGCTCAGTTGGTGAATGCATGCATGTATGATATTGCTATGCGCAAAGTACACACGGCTATACCCCCCTTACCCAAAGGTCCCAACCTCATGTCCCCCCGCCAAGGACATCTTCTCTTTTAAATATAAAACCTGGGAGCTCCGTCTACAACATACTTAATGCAAGTTTACGACTAAAGAGGGAATAAATTACTACAGAACTGTTTCGTATGACAAGCGTTAAGCTTGCCACACTCATCAGGCCGTGAATAATATAAAAAATTATATTATATTACTCATCCTGTGTTATATATATATACGGGTTAAACATGGGTTATTTTGTTCACTTAGTTCTTTATTAATATCAATACTGTTCGCCTAACTGTGGCATTCAAGAAATTTTCAAGACAAATGTCGAACGATTTCCCATAAATTTAACATATGCAGTACAATCACGTGATCGATATTTACGTATTTATATTTATATATATATTTCCAGGTGACAAACTTAATGATAACGACTATATCTATATATCTATATATCTATATCTATATATATATATTGACTATTTCATGAGCTTCATCTGTCAGCCACTTTTTTCCATTGTTTGTTATATACAATTCAAGATCTTCGCAACAGGGAGTGTTGCGTCAGTTGCAAAGTGTGAAGTCTTTTCTACCCATATACAAAGGTGGCGACATTCAGTCATGCACTAAAAAACAGGGTGTCAATTATATCACTTTCTATACCATAGCTTTCACTAATTTACATGCAGGTACGCTATTTATTTTGCCTCCACACTTAACTTGTGTACTTGTCTCTCAGTTTTCAGATAGAGCTTCTACAAAGCAGCTTCAGTGGTTTGATCGAACTGAAAGATAAGGTAAGACACTCTTCACGCTCATTTACACGCAGGCGTGCGTAAAAACAAAATCATAAAAAGCACATGAGGTCCCGGCGTATATACGGGCCTAGGAATTTTGGAGAGCCGACGAATGCTTTTATAGAAAAAAATGTCCAACTCCGGAGTACAAATTTCCCGATTTATCTATCGATCATCAATTTTTTCTAATTTGCCGACCTCTTTCCTGCTTTGCATGCAGTGAGTTTGCATCCACGGCGAGTTAATGGTTGGGGTTTTTGTCCGGCGACAGTATATGTAAATAAACTTGCACTCACCAGGTATCACTGACTCACGAAAGATCAACATTTTTTTGGATTGACTGCACTTTTGAGAATACCTACATTCTACAAACTTCTCGATTTGCCGTGATGCCGCCTCTGCGAATCCGAAATGAAAGTTTTGTTTAATAATTATGTCTAAACTTTCGCGGAGTATATGTAAAACGTTTTGACAATGATGATCATCGTAAATCCCATCTGCATGGTTATGACAATAATGCCAAAGAAATAAGTAGTAGGTAAGGGTATATACTGAAAACTAGATGGTTCACAATTTAGTGTTATATAGGCCAGAACGCCTATGGTTTTATAGGGCAGGCTGTAAAAAATTTTGGGTGGCCGAAAAATAAAGATTCTGGATGATCATTTCATGCCATGCCACTGATTGCTGTTGAAAAAAAATGCGAAATATTGCGTTTTCGAAATGTCAGCCATGCGACGTGTGTCACGACCTGACACGTCAAGTCGGAATGTCTAAGTTACTAAAATTACATGCTCTTAAATTTTGGTAAGATATTTATGAGTTCATGAGAACAGTAGAATCTGAGACGGTATATTGCACGCGAAATTAGGTGTTAAACCTTTTTGATTTTTTTCTTGCGGTTTAGACAAAGACAAAATCCAACCAAATTCATTTTTGCATAAAGACAAGGACATTTCGCGCCGCTAAATGTGACTACTACACTTCTCATAATTATATAAATAGTCTGAGAATCTTATTACTTTACGTCACGTGTAATCACGTGCACGCGGTCGCGTTTGATATTTAAATTGGGCATTAATTGATATTAGTATAATTACAAAGGTGATTAATGAAAATTCTGGCCTCTGATTGGTCGAGCGACCTCAGATTATTATACGCGATAGTCAGATTTTTTAAAATGGCGGCATTTTTAAATTTTTGTCAAAGTGACAGATGACGAAATACGTTATTTTGACAAAAATACTGTACCTGAAAACACAAAAGAAGAAGACATTTGGTAAAAACTATTTTGTAGAATACTTTTTCAACTTTATTTTGCGAAAACATTGTTTTATATATCGCCGTGAAACTGTTGAGTTGTATAAGTATTTCCTACAAGCAGCGTAATTTCAGTGTAATCAGGCGATATTCACGTCGCCTTCGACGAATAATTGTTAATTAAAGCCATTTGGAACATCGTGCAATAGCGTCGAAAAAGAGCTAGGTATAATGATTTAACTTAATTGATTTAACCATTAATAGACGAGTAGACTGGTAATGACGCGCGAGCGCCACGAGAATGAAAACATGATTTAACTGCATGAGTGCAATGAAATTTACAAAATCAATTGCATGACACCATGTCTGTAAAAGAGACATTATATATTCAGCTTCATACTTGCATCACTTCATTTTCGTAATTACGCGCGTATATATTTTCTCTGAAGCTAAAATATGGCCTAAAAAAGTGTAGCTACATTAAATTCACTTTAATAATTCCCAAACTGAAATGGCAATTTCTCAATAATTTCTTGTTTGTTATATATATATAGGCCATATATAGCTACAAATACGATCTATTGGAAATATGACATCTCCAAATTGCTTGTTGGTGTTCTGTATGCTATGTATTGCAGTGATGTGGCGACAGGTCAGTAATAAATATAATTTTTGAATGAACTTGATGTTATGTATACGTATGTTTTTGGGGCTCTTTATCTCGTACATTCTTCGCACTTCTGTTACAGCAATCAAATTATAGATTAAGTACTTGCAGAGCGTTTAGTAGCAGCATCTCACCCTAGGGTTTTTAAAGTTTATGAAGTACATGAGTCAGGATATAATAAGCTTTTTTAAATGAATATCAGCACTATACCGCCATGGCTGCATGAAGACCAAGTTAAGTCCCTGTTACACGGTGCAATTTTTATTCTAACTTGCAATGCAATTCTTCGTTTGAGAGATGTAAATTAGGCAACTACCGAACTTTTGTCTTTATTAGTACGCTCCATGGCGCTTCTTACACTTAAATTTTAAAGACTCTTTTTAAGGTATAGAATTGCATTCAAAAAGTTGCAAGGAAAATTACATATAGGTAATGGCATTCCTATAATGCCGAAACGTAACCGATTTCTCAACTACAGCAAGGATATAATGGGAATAAAGACAGATAAAGTATACTTGTATTTTAGCCAAAGCAAAATACAACTTAAATCTCATGAGGAAGATCAGAAAAAAACACCATCGGATTTTGTCAGACAATTTTCTCAAAACCATTGCACATCTTCATGACAAACAAGAAGGTCCATTAAAATCACAGGGAATTAAAAGATCTTTAAAGCATGTTGGTAAAAACAAGAAAAACGTCTACAACGATAAAAAAAATGATTTCAAAAAGAATGAAGTTGCGTTAATACAAGGTATTCAAGAATATATCATTTATAGCAAGGATTAAATTAATTGCTGCGTCTGAACGGCCTATTTCTGATGGTATAGTCCACGGAAAAAGTACGTAGCTACGTGACCTGCATGTGCTAACATGCCATGTGCCATGTGTGTGCCATGTGTCTGCCATGTCTGTGCCATGTTTGTGTCGTGTAACTTCAGTAGTTACACGGACAGCCACTGGACTGAGCAGAATTAGTAATAATCGTACTCTGGGGTCTCATTATGAATACGTGGCTCAATCTATTCGTTTCAATTTGAACAAAACCTCTTTTAGATCATACTACAACAGGATCAAAACGTACTTCAGAAGATGTTAATGCCGTTCTTGATAATGAAAACGTCCAAGAAGCCGTTGTCGAGAAAGGGATCGAAGTTGTTGGAAACGCAATCGATCAGCAGATAGCAAATATCCAGGGAGCACAGAATAAATCAGAAGCATTTTTAAATAAAAGGGTGAATGACTCTATTTTGATATTAAACATCAGAGTCACTTTCCAAATTAGGAAGGGAGGAGAGGCAAACTTACGAGGCCACCATGGTTGGCGTAGAACGAGAAAACGTTTATTCTAGTATAAGTATAAGTGTCAGCAATTTCTTTTATTTCATAGTCCCGTAGTTTGATGTATTGCATGGGCTAATTGTACGGATATATACCTTTTGTCAGATAAAATTGAATATCTTTCCTGAGAAAGGCTGGAAAAATGAGGATATGTTTGCGCCACCTGGATATCATATGGACGCAGAAATAGAAAGCGATAGTTCCCCAGCGAGCAGCGAGGAAGTTGGTGATCCTGTGTACACATATCCTGCAGGAATAGGAACTATGATGATGAATGGATGCTGGGGGACTGGATATCAACCTGGTGATCCTTGCTATCAATCTCTAGAAGTTCTAACTGCTTGTCAGGTGTGTTTGTTTTCACTGTGTTTTTCAATTGTTCCTGGTTGCTGGTACAGTTTTAAAATTAATTCATGTTGAAGCTTCATTCAGTTACGTTATATGCAAGGTGTTTTCGGAATTAATATTCATTAACGAATAAACTGATTCGAACATTTCAGTTTTCAATATTATTTCTCCCGCAGAATATGATTGATGGCGCTGCATTTATTGGTGTTGGCTTTGATGGACGTGGTAAATACAGTCCAGAGTCGAGAAAAATGAGTATCATACAACGTTCTTGTGGTGGACGTTCTTAGTAAGTAATCCGTATATATTGAAGTTAATACGTTCACGGCAGTTAATAAGTTCACGGCGCGGCAACCAGGTTTACTACAGGGCTACTCTGGTTTAATTAATGAAAGTAATCACTACACCACAGCTAGAAAGAGCATACTAAAATTAGTGCGACTGTGACACTTAGTTTCGAAATTTTGAAGGATGCGGAAAATAGCAATGCGACGTTTGGCATGTAACTAATTTAGCTACACATTTGGCAGCCAAACTTCCTTTTAAAATACATCCTCTCAAGAGGGGCTCAAAATTTTTTCAAGCGTAGTGGGGCCCCGGCCCCCGTATGGGCTGCGCTTAATTCTGATCATGTCGATTAGTGGGATTAGAGTTACATTGAAGTTTTTGTTTAATTTTTGTAGCTACGACGACTTTCAAGTGCCTGACACAATGAACGTTCATGGCATATACGAAACAAGTTCAAACATGCGAGTTTTTTCTTCACGAAGAGAATTTCAAACGTATCTGCAAACAGAAGCTGGAGTATCAGGGTCGACGTTTGGGTTATACGCTGGAGCTAAAGCTGCTTATGGGGCATCAGCCGGCTTGAATAGTCAAATTAATCTTGCAGTCTTTGACATCGATGTGGACAGGTGAATTATGTTTTAATTCGAACAAAATGTGCTTTTGACTTTTGCGATATGTTGTTTGCCTGCAATTGTTTGCCGCTAATTTGACGTTCTCTGTGTTCAGTTAAATTGTCGGAAATTATTTAATTTAGATATGAAATATTCAAAGATGAAGTGAAACCTCAAGATCTCTCGCGTGCATTTCTTCACGAGTTCATGAATCTACCACCATCCTTCATTCAACCTGGTGCACCAGCTAAATTCAGTAAGTAAATCTATTAGGCAGTAAATCTACTATGCCTACAAAGCAGATTCAATCATTGAAGCATTCAGCCAGAAAGATTTTCATACCTTACCCTATTTTTACTGATTCTGGGATATTCATCTTAATTGCCTTTGCAAATAATTGTTAAATAATAAATCTACAGTCACGTTTTCACAAGCGGTTAAATCTAAAGAGGCGGAATATAAATGGCTACAACTGCGGCGCCTTGATAAAGTAGTTTATTCTGTACAGGTGACTTCATATCTCGATGGGGGACTCATTATATAAAATCGGCAAAATTCGGCGGACAATTAGAAATACGAAAGCTGCAAAGTGGTCTATCCACATCAACCAAGCAGGAATTTGCAGTCGAAGCTGAAGTGGAATACAAAAGTCTTTTCTCCAGTATTGGTGGGTATAGCAGCACTAGTGGTGGAGTCGAAGCAAAGACAGAAGAAAAATTCATGTCAACTTCAGTTCAAGCTCTTGGTGGAGATCAGGAGATAGCAGCAGCAGTCGCAGACTTATACTCGCCAATATTTAAAAGTACACTAGTCGTACGTGTTTTACTTTTGTGTTCATGTTTGAAAAACTTAACATAAGTAATAGGAAAGTGAAAAGAATGCATGTTTTTTCAGAGGTGAAGTATCGTGCATAAGTGAGAGGTGCATTATAGCCTTTATAGGGCAGCTGTGGAAGAACATTTGTACCCGGCTGTTGAAACCTGAGCCCTCAAATTTTTGCATTAAGCACATTAAGCACATTAAGCAGCATTTAGTGCATCAAAGGTATACATCATCCTATTGCACCCAATTACTTAGCATGAAAAAATGCTGTATGTAACTTTCATTCTCCAAAAGGTTTTGTTCCACTTTTACTTTCCTGTATTGTGTTTTGAAGCACGTTGCTATGCAGCTAAGCACGTTACTGTTCATTACATCAGTATATTCTGCGGTAAAATCACCTCCAATCCCAAAAATGATTATTTAGGGCAACTAAATAAGTCACTGTATTGATATAACAAAAACTGCTTTCAGGAATGGCTTGACAGCATTAATAGTTACCCCAAAGCATTCAAGTTCATTATGGGACCGATCACTGACCTTGTTGATTTTCGTGCTGCTGAACTTTTTCCTGATGCAACCGTCGATTGGGGTTGTGAGGCAAATAGTGCAAAACTTGTAAAGGAAGAAAGCACAGAGAGATATTATTATAATAGGACGGTTGCTGGTGTGACAATTAAAACTTACTGTGACTATGGAAGCAGGGAAGAGCTTGAAAACACGTTGAAACAACGTCGAACGAATTTAAAGGCTGCCATAGAATCTTACATGGAAGAAGTATGATGCAATATTGCCTTAAACTAAACCCTAGCTAGTGTCATTCGCATGCAGAGGCTAGCTTACAGGAATGTGCATTTTGACTATAGGCAATTCTTCATTTTAACTGGTTCGGAAATCGGAAGATCTGTTGTTTCATTAGAAATAAACAGATTCACTGATTTCATGCTTTACATTATTAATAAGACCAATCAAATGACTTTTTTGTCACGAGTACTAGCACATTCGCAAATGATTTGCGGTTGGATTTCAATTTTTATCAAGGGAAATTAGAGGACATGCACTAATGAGTGCTTTTACCTTTATTTTTAGGGGCCAGTATCAGCAACTGATGTAAATCTTCGAGCAGGTGACGGAGGATGTGAAACACTGCATCTTGAAGGTTCAGCGGCCATCCCAAGATGGAACGAGATCTCAAATAATGGCAAAGTGTTTAATGTCATTTTCGACATGGATACTGAAATCCGTGGAAATAAAAGCAAGATCTCCAAAACCATGTCAAGATTGGTAAAATGGATGTGAGAATGAGTTGTACCAAAATCAGTCGGCCAGGGCCCGGTTGTATCAAGCCCGTTTAGCTTAAACGGTGGATAAGTCAAAATTAAATAACACTCTTACAACTCTGTTGAATGAGTCAACTTGAATATTATGCACTGAATATGTAGTTGTAAACAGTATCTTTGTATTAAGGCTAAAAACATTTTGTTTGCTTGTTGAATAAAACGATAGACTTGATTTCTATTTTGAACTTATCCACCGTTTAAGCTAAACGGGCTTGATACAACCGGCCCCAGATCTGCATGATGATATGAATTTTTAATCTTACTTCCCTAATTATCAAGCAATTTAGTTACCTGCCTGGTTTAAAGCAAAAATATATTTACATGTTTAAAACATCTTTATCTTATAGTGGAAATAGATGGATTACAGGAGATGAGAACGATAATTTCCATCTGTTCATTGTTCAATGCTTTCTCCAATGGCGGAAGTCATACTTTATCCAACAATAAAATCTCCATATTTGGACTCGTTTTGACATACTCGGACGGAGCTCTAACTTTGGCAGAGGCAGACTTCAGTGAATCCGGGGAGTATTTTTCAAATCTCGACAAGCGTTTAAAAGGTGAAATAACATTTACGCGTTTGATCTCGTTTCAATCGTATGATCATGTAGTCAATGATTTCTATTAAACAGCATAGCTGTATCAATTATTTATTGTTAATTATTTATTTCTTCAGAAATTGATTGCTTTTACAGTCAATTAATGTACACAAAAATATCAGCATAGCTAGACGAAATATCCGACGGGCTATATTGATGATTTCAGATGAGATTTCTTGGGTCTCTCCGTGGTAGAGTGTAGAGTGTAGGCTGTAGAGTGCTTGTGGAGTTTATTTTTGAAGATATATATATATATTCTTCCCTTTTAAAGGCAAAGTCCTTGCCCGTGTCAGGTGGCCTGCTTCAACTCTCTTCTCACAGATATCGCCTACAACAACAAGACTCCACACTCCATGCAACGTGAAGTGGTCTAATGTATTCAAATTCGACCCAGTCAGTCATACGAAAGATAAATGTCTACATTTCAAAGCCTTTTCCAAAGGAACAGTGTACATCGTGTTCGCGTCAATTCCTGCGAACAGAGAAACTTGGTACACCATCGAGATATCCAAATACGGAGCAATAATATATAAGGTGGCATTATTCAATTAATTTTATTTTTAGGCGTGGATATAAAGCCTAGTGGAAAAATTCTTCGGAGATATGAGCACATCAAATATCATTTTCATTGTCATTGTCATTAATTCATCGGCAATTTCCTACGATTCATTGTCGATGCATGAGAAATAAAGTAAACGCCTACTTGGCTATTGTCGGTGGTCATTCCGTCATTGATACATAAAACAATTCGCTTATTCGTATTGTTTATTCGAACTGTATTTGTCTACTTCATTGGTCACCGACAATGGATCGTGGACTCAGACTTGAACGCACGTGTACATCGGTTGAAAGACGATTATTATTTAAGTTCAAACGTTTGACGTATTATAGCGTTGTAAGAGACAATTATCAAGTCCCTCGGCGGACACGACTAGCTTGTCGTTATAATAACATTCACTTCTTGTTTTTTCAGAATGATGTGATTCTAGCTTATACGAAGAATAGAGATGCCGTTTCTATCGGCTTACGCAGTTTATATCAATCATACTTCGCATGTCTCAGTGAAACCCATAATATAACGGTGATCGAATATGGCAAGACCGCCGGGGATACTAGATTTGGTGATAATTATCTAACAACAACCGATCGTACAAACCCTATTCATACTTAATTTTATACTTTTGGAAATGGAGAAGACGATGTAGCAATCATAGACGAGTACAAGTTACCCCGCGTTCCCAGTTTTTGCAAGAATGCAAAGGAGGTAGCGTGTTAGACGCCGCCGGATCACTGTGTGTCAAAAAGTCGTGCCATGAAGCTTGCGATGCAATTGAAGGTACGTTAGTTTCACTATACAAGTATCGATTGCCAATTCATTTCGAGAATGTAGATCAGTCACAGACAGGAGAACAAATGAAAGCAAAATCTAAAAAAATCCCTCTATATACAATTTCCTTCACTTGTTAATGGACGTGGCTGGGGATTTACAATGACCTATCTGCGTACTGCTGAGACCTCATCTACTGCGAATGACCTCGTTATGATTTCCTTCCCTTGATTCACTTATGTCGGAATCTTTAGGTTGCCGTACAGCACAAGGGAATACACCGCTAGCAACCGAGTGTTATTCGTGCAAATACGCGAAACAAGGTGAGACATGTTTGTTGAACTGCCCGTCTGGCATGTCGCCAAACGAGAACAAAATATGCACGGGTTAGTAAATCGTTTTGTGTATGCGATTTTTTCATTTAATTTGTTCATGATTATGGTAGAAATATACCTTTCCTCACCATAAATATATCTTCCCTCTCCAACGATAGAAGTCGGCTCATCTTTTTGATATGAAATGTCAATTGTAATCAAAAGTGCGTTTCAACTACATGTATTACATAAAGCAAAAATTCTCCGAATTTGTTTGACAATATCGTTCCAGTCCCACTACCACAGGAAAAGTTAACTATACCGTTATAGACCCATTATACGAAAAGTATATCAGGTATATAAGCAATACTATGCATATATAAAGCTTTTCAGCTAATCAACCCCCCCCCCTTCTCTCTCTCTCTCTCCCTTGTTGGTTACTATATAAATTTGTATAACTGCCTTAGCTACCTATCACGTGACGTTTAAAAGAACATACGATCAACTTTCTTCATTTTTAACGCCATCTACACTACCTTCCTTCACACTTTCTGCTTGGATAAGGTTACCCGTTTACGAGGACGGATTTTTGCACAGAAAATATAGAATCATTGGATATACACATCCTACGGACCCTTTTTACGCGTTGGAATTATCGATATTTTACTTGCGAGCAGGGGAGCCTTGGCTAGTGGTAGACTACAACGGGTGAGTGGAACACGCGTAAGCTGATATAAATTAGCCAGGGTGCATGTAAATTAGCCAGGGTGCATGTACATAAACAGTTTTAGTATACACCCGACTATTGTCTATTACAAATCCTACATTCTGCATGATTGGCTACTCAACCATGTCTATTCGTGATAGTGAACGTTTGGGAAAAATTCGCTCGCGCGACTGTATAAAATTGAATTAATTAAATTATTTTTCGGTGTAATTGCGGTGTATCGATCATTTTCTCGAAATTAATATATCTAGGTACAGGGTGTATACTAAAACAATTAGACAAGTTGCTTTCGTTGTCTACGAGCAACTCGGACTCGTTGTCTAATTGTTAAATAGAAACACGCTTCTCGACCAATCAGCACGCGCGTGCAATAAATGCAAAAATCAGCGGAGGAAGGTTGATTTGTTAGATAATAATTACTTAATTACTTGATAATTAGTTGCACTCCTATTCGCTCTATTAAGGCTCTCACTCACTCATCGCAAAAACTAACTCGGCACAAGCTCTCTGCGAGAAATTTCGTCCAATCACAATGCTTGACAGTGTATTTTAATTAGATGCAAACACACGCAGCGAGCTGATTTTGAGTTGATTTTGCGACGAATAGAAAAGAGCCTCTACCATTATTACTGACTAGAGTGAAACATGGAAGCTAATTTGTTTATAGTCGGGCATCGACATCGTGTTTATAGTCCTTTAAAATTAGATCATGTGTTTCACTGAAGTTATTATATGACACAAAATTCTTATTTAATTGATAGGGTCCAGATGTCTAATGAAATTGGGATAAGAACACAACAAAAAAGTGGTAACAATATATGGTATTTCGCAGGCTTTTCCCGTGATAGCCGCTTCGGAAATACACAGCTTTTTTGGTTTGGTGAAAGTTTAGTTTCAGCCAACAAGCTCTTGTGTCCAGGAAGGACAATCGTTAAGGGCGGGCAGATCCACCTTGCAGGAGCACCGAAACAAAAGATTTGGAGTGTGCCATCCCAGCGCGTTAACCTACCTTTAAGCATCACTCAGTTGAATATTTTTGATTCCGTACTCACAAATGACCAACTCACTGCTATGGCTAATCGAGACAAGTGTGATGGTCCAGCTGGCAATGTCGTTAGTTGGGCAGATATCGAGAGCAGCGTGGATTCTCGTGCGTACATCAAGGTTAATCCGTCGGAATGTGCAGTCGATTCTGCGTAATATTCTACCACGCCGTTATGCAGTTAAACGGACTTAAACCTGAAAAAGTACACAAAAAGTTATAATATTTATAATGTAAATATAGCTAGAATCCAGGCCGCTGAAGGGGGGGGGGGTAATTTTCCCCCCGGTCCCCTGAATCTGAAGGGTTAAAAATTAAAGCACGTTAAAAAATGTTGGGCTGCATTTTGTTTTTAAATTATTTGAAGGTGGATGTAGGTTTCGCGATCGACTGTTCCAAGCATTTACACGGCCGATAGCTTCATATGTAGGTATGGTTATTATACAGACACTTTTATTTACGGTAGGTTCACATATAAATATATAGGAAACGGATACACACCCCCGCACCCCTGAGTGAAGACCTGGCTTTAAACTCAATGCAATGAATGAAGCCTTGAATAGTTAAATTACCAGGGTATTCACTTGGGTGAATTAGGCAGAGTGAAAGCCCTGGAACGAGATTAGAAATAAATAATTTTATAATATAACATTTATAGTACGCGCGTGCTGATTGATCGAGAAGCGTGTTTCTATAACTGTATAGAAACACGGGAATTTTCCCGCCGAACTTGACAAGCGAAGCGATGTAATGAGAATTTGTAATTGAATCGAATCAAAATATTTGTACAAAATCTTTTATTGAGTTATATTATAAAAGAAATAGAAAACATTTTTTCCTGTGTTTCTATACAGTTATAGAAACACTTGTGTGAGTTTGGGAGAACTCGAAATAACGTGGAAAAACTCGCCCTACGGGCTCGTTTTCCCACTGATTATTTCTCGTTCTCC